TGATCAAAGCACAAAAATGACTTCTGCCGTTCGTGGTAAATATTTATCCTAGCTGCGAACACGCGTACAAAATTTATGAATTGGTTCGTGTCTAATCTATTTCACACAAATCATTTTTATCTAGATAAAAGATTTCTATGGTTTTGACAGATGGGATCGCTGCACATTTGAATCGGCCGTTATGGATTCTCGATCATGAGTTAAGTTTAAGTTTCATGTCGGTTTGTCGATGGTAAAGGCTGACTAAAAGTAAATTGGTACGCCCCTCGCGCGCCGCTAGCACGCCTTTAGTGTTGTTTACACTTCTATAGAAAACAACTGGTGCAAGTTTGATCAAAGTAGTCGATCAGCGTTCAGAAATAACGTCAAATGGAACTCGAAAGAACGAAAAATATTGTGCACAAACACCTGGAAAATCCGGAGTGGTCCGGCTCCAAGCTGGCTAAAGTGCTGAAGATGCCAAAAACAACAGTTTGTCGAGTGCTCAAAATCTACAAGGAAACCCTGATTGCTAAACGGAATCAGCGGACCTACGAAAGAACAGGGATCGTCAGCTGCGCAGCAAGGTGTTGAGGTGCGTTAAAGCCAACCCCGGTCTATTGATCCGAGATGTGGCCAGAAGGTACAACGCCAAATTTCAAACGGTGCGGAACATCCTTGTCTGGGAAGGATACAAGTCGTACAAAGCCAGTATACATCCGAACCGGCACATGAAGCAGAATTCCGTGGCCAAAAAGCGTGCAAGGCTCTTGTACGACCGTGTTTTGACGAAACATAAGGGCTGCACTTTGATCGATGACGAAACATACGTCAAACACGATTTTAAGCAGCTTCCCGGTCAAAAGTTTTACATCGCGACTGGACGTGGGGATGTGCCGGGAAGATTCAAGTTCGCGAAGAAGGCCACGATATGCAATTGTGGCCTGAAAACGGAACCATTCGTCACATTCGAAGAATGCCTGAAAAAGCGTGTAATGCCGTTCATCCGCCAGTATAGGGGCAAAGTCATCTTTTGGTCTGATTTGGCCAGCTGCCACTACTCCAAGGTGGTTCTGGATTGGTATGCTGCAAACAAGATCGATGTTGTCCCCAAGCTAATGAATCCTCCGAATTGCCCGGAATTTCGACCAATCGAAAAATACTGGGCAGTTTCAAAGCAGCAACTTCGACGAAGCGGCGTGGCAGTCAAGGACATCCAGCAAAAGTGAGCAAAATGGAAGAAATGCGTCCGTTTCCACTGTGCGGGCGCAATCAAGAGGAAGGTTCGAGATTTATTTCGAACAGGAGAAATGTAACCAACTAATGCTGTAACTTTGAAGTTTTAATGAATGTACTGTAAAGCTACCATTAATGGACTTTTATACTTACACACTTAAATTTTTTCGCCGAGATTCCAAAAGCCGAGCAGTTCTGCCGAGACTCAGCTCACAAAAAATATTTTGCTGAGATATCAGCCAACAAACAGATATTTTGAAGAGATATCAGCAAAAGTAAATGCCGAGGCAATCGGCTGTTGGAGATTTTACCGAGCTAGGTGAAGTGTGTATTGAATCACGGATTACAGGTCTTTTTGTACATGCCAATTTACTTTTAGTCAGCCTTTATCACAATTTGAGTCTGTGTGAGGTACATTAGGCTCCAAGTGTGTCACAATTCGAACCTATAGTGTTGATGCATGCATGGTTTGCAGCATGAAATGGATCTGTTTTACAATAAGTGCTCAATTAAGTGTGAGACACATGACACATGACACATGAGTGTACTATCAACAATACTTTTAAGTATTGACAATATTTTTTTTAACTAGTTCGTTTATTTGGTAGGCTCAATCGCGTTAGCTTTACGGAGCCGATAGTTCATTGTTCTTTGTTTGTAACAAAATTCACTTAATTCTATGTCTAGTAGGAGTTGGGCCGAATACTCGCGGCTTACTCGAGGTTAGAGAGGTACATTGTCGAAGGATAGGATCAGGGGAGGAGCTTGGGGGCAAGGTTTCGTTGTCTCATCAGAGTGTTGTCGCCAGTATGAATGGTATTGCGGTTCTAGTTTCGTCTGGAGTTCGACCGGCTATGGTGACCAGTGGGTGACGATGAGGCTCATCGAAATGGGGGGACAAGACAAACAAAAACTATTAAAGAGAGACAAAAGACAAAGGAATTAAATTCTTATACTAGACATTTGAAGAAACACATAAACCGACTGCATATAGCAGATATCGCGAGTTCCCAACACGTCTCTGATAGGAACATAGGGTTGTCTTCCTTGGGCCTCAAGGGTATTCAAAAGTCACTCTCTGGCGGCGTCATTATCCGTACATTGCCAAACTGCGTGATCGATGTCATCGTAACCGTTTCCACACTGACAGATGTTGCTGTCCACGAGGTTTATTCTATTGAGATGAGCATCTAGCGAGTAGTGGTTGGACATAAGTCTACTCATCACGCGAATGAAGTCACAACTTAAGTCCAAGCCTTTAAACCACCCAACAAACAATCGTCTATGGAAGAAACGACTTCTTGGCCATTTTATTCAACTGCATGCTTAATAGTACTTGTACTATTTTTAATAATAACTTCTGTTCAGGCTTTGTTCACACAAATCTGGAGAATTTATTCAACCTTAACATTGAACTACTGGTGTTGTATAAGGTATGTCGAGAAGCTTTTATTCGACTTATATGAGTTGTAACAGAGTTTATACGATAACATTTTTGATTATTCAGCGTTTATATTAGACATCACTGCTTCCTTAAAACTGTGATGCTCTGTATACGCCTAATTGAAGCTGTATACTACATGTGAAGTAACGTTTAATTAGAAATTATTATACATTTATTAAACGATTATTCAACTGTGGGAAAATTAACCCGAAAATAAGAGGACAGGGGGGGGGGACAGGGAAGGGTGTGTGTGTTTCTTAAGTGTATTGAATTTCAATATTTCTAACGTGGGGCTCGCACCATACAGATATTAGAAAATTTATTAAATACTTATACATGCCGTTGTATGGGAATCGAACCATGTACCTTCCGATCACGAGCCGCTTGCCTTGTCATCTGAGCTTTCCTAGAATTCATCATATGGGCAACTCAATAATCTATAAAAGCCTGCATGAAAGTAAATACCTATCAGCACTCCCGATCGCAACTCTAGCTCCTTCAAGGCCCTGTGGGAATGATTAATTCATTCATCGTTGTTTTAAATGAGACCAATGTTGCCTCTTCACATCTCCAAGTCGAAAGAAAGGATGCTCGGTTATATTTTAAACTAGATCAATGCATTCATTATCGTGAGTCATGTGATCGATGATTACTATTTAAATTAATTATGTTCTACACAAATAAAAAAAAAGGGTTGAGCTTGGGATTGAACTCACGACCTTCTAATTCGAAAGCGGAAACGGTAACCACTACTCTACTGATTTCGCCTTGTTGTAAGACTAAATCAGTGTTGTCGAATAATGAATCTAATACGTCGTTTATAAAGCATTTACAAATTATGTGATTACAACATGGAAGCATAGTGGTATAAGAGCTATTATGCTGACTGTATTCACCTTTATTCAGCAATATTGTAAAGTAATGCAATGAAATCTAATAAAGGAGCTGGAGAACATTTATTAGACGTCTAATAAAGCATGTTATTAAATCAATTGAAAACAGTCGAATTAAAGTGTTAATGTATGTACAAATTACACTTCTTCAGTTTGTTATTAGATCGAACTTCTGGCGTTGAATTGGGAAGACATTTAACACTTTTACAGCTTTTAATAAGTAAATTAATCAGATCAGAGCAAACGGTGGAGCAATGAGCTTTTCAGGCACATAATTCGACAACTCTTTTTATTCAGCATTGTACACTGTTATACAGCATTTATTGAATATATATGCTTATTTGCGACTTTGAATTGTTTGTTGGGTGGTATAAGAGCTATTTTGCTGAGTGTATTCACCTTTATACAGCAATATTGTAAAGCAATGCAATGAAATCTAATAATGGAGCTAGAAAACATTTATAAGACGTTTAATAAAGCATTTTATTCAATCATTTGAAAACAGTCGAATAAAAGCGACAATGTATGTGCAAATTACCCTTATTCAGTTTGTTATTAGATCAAAATTGTGGCTCTGAATAAGGAAGACAGTCAACGTTTATAAAGCATTTGATAAAGAAATTAATCATATCATAGCAAACGGCGGAATAAAAGCGCATCTATCGATCTCAATGAGCTTGTTCAAAATCATTAAGATAATTAAATTCCATGAACTTCAATATTCACCATAAAAACGCGCACTGCACCCGTTGTGCGCACGAATAGCACAGCAACATAAAACATGTAAATAGTAGCATAGGATGTACAGAAAATGTAAATAAAAAATCAGTTGAAATCAGCATCCCGTCGCGTTTAGGTGAAAGTTGCTCTACTTCCGTGTGTGGTGTCCGAAGTGCCTCGGTCTCGAAACCTCTTACACAAGTGAATCCGTTTTTTTTGTCGAGCTAATTAATTGCGGTGGAAGGTGAAAGAACCACAGCCAGGGAACTATTTCCACCGTCGTTTTTGTTGAAAAGAAAAGTGGTTAAGTGCTAATCATAATTTGGTCCTTCGAGCCGGATAGAGGACCTCCGGTGAAGAAAAAGTGTTCTCGAACTGCCTAGAAGAGGCACGAAAACGGAAAAAAATTAGTGTACGGAAAAAGTGTTTTTTTTTCTCTCGATAGCGTCCCAAGCCAAGAATCACCATTGCCGTTGGCCAGTGTGGATAGAACAGTGTGATTTCTGCCCAAGAATCCCCCATTTTGCGCAATCCTGTTTTCTTTCGTCGTGTGTGAAAGTGAACAATCATTCACTGATCGATAACCTCCCGTAGAGTTGTTGTAGTGGTGTGTGATTATCTATACGGGCGTATTGAACGGTGGGTTCAACCTGTAAAAAAGGTGACGATAAATAGAGATTCTGAGCGGTGGAAAAAAGTGTTTTTGGTGACGGTACCAGTGAATGAAAATGACCGAAGAGGCGAAGATTTTCGAAGAATGGCAGCAGAAAAAGGAGAACATCCTGGATTCTGTGGCTTTGTTGGAGTACTATGCAAAGAACTTCGACAAAGAGGAGACACGGAAGGTGCAAGTGGAGGCTTGGGCTGAGAAGCTTGAGCGTTTCTATGACGAGTTTCATCGAGTAGCTGTCAAGATGGAAGCGTTGTCAACGGACAAAACCCCCATCGATCTGAAAGGTGAGCGACAGAAGTTTGATGCTAGATATTATACCCTACGTGCGTTTTACCTGACTGAGATTGCGAAGACCACCAGTTCCTCTTCTTCCAATTACCCCCTACCTACCAAGCCGATGAACGTTCGGCTTCCAGAGCTGAATCTCCCGAGGTTCAGTGGTCGTTTGGAGGACTGGTGCGTTTTTCGTGACTCTTTTGAATCAGCTGTAGGTTCCCGGAGCGACATCGGTGCCGTCGAGAAAATGCACTACCTCAAGGGTCTCGTCCAAGGAGAAGCAGCACGCATCCTCGACCCGATTAAAGTCAGCGAGCAAGGCTACAAGGACGCTTGGCGGACACTCAAGCTACGCTTCGATAATAAGCGGCAGCTCATCAAGTGTCACCTCAAGACGCTGTTCGACACTCCTGCGATGCACGAGGAATCAGCCGAGGAACTTCTGGCCCTGGTCGATCGCTTCGAGCAGCAGATATCAGTTTTGAAAAGTTTGGGAGAACCAGCCGACCGATGGAGCTCGATATTGGTTTATCTGCTTTCAATCCGTCTCGATCCTTGTACGCTCCGGGAATGGGAAAATCAATGTGCACGACTCGACACTGACAATATAGCTTCAGTTCTGGGAGGAACTGCGTCGAACTCAAGCGCCATTGCCGATAAATCGAATTCCATGCCATCCTACGTTAAGATGGTCAACTTCCTCCAGAACTATGCTCGAGTGTTGTTTGCAGTGTCCCCAGCTATATCCGCTCCTTCTCGCAACAAGTCCAAGTCTCTTTCAAAGTCAGCCGCCTTTCCCGTTACCACGCAGAAGAACGTATGCAGCTCATTACCAGAAAATTCCAGCTCCAGCAAGTCAGAGAAGTCGTGTGAACTATGTGGTCAAGGACATTACCTGTACCACTGTCCGGAGTTCCAGGAACTAGACGCTGTTCAACGGACCAATCTAGTAAGGCAGAAAAACATTTGCATGAACTGTTTGCGTTCCTCTTCCCACTTTGCTCGCACCTGTACTGGCTCCCGATGCCGTGTCTGCTCCAGAAAACACCACACGCTACTTCATACAGATACCAGTGATACCAAGCTCGTTGCCAACAATCCGTCTACTGATCCTACCTGTTGCGTTGCTATCGAGCAAGCTGTTAACTCTACTCAGGCAATTCAGCAGCTCAAGTCTGTTTTGCAAGGTACAATTCAGAAAGCGTCTACCTTTGCTGTTCCCGTGAATAAATTTGGCAATGTTCACGACGCTTCTGGGAATCCACAATATGCTCTGGTCTCGCAATCCCAAGCAGTGATCCCCGGAACCGTCTTCCTTCCTACTGCGCTCGTGAACATTCGCACTAGCAGAGGTCGGACTGTCACCGCACGTTGCCTGTTGGATTGCGCTTCTCAACGCAACTTCATCTCCGTAGCACTGTGCGAAAAGCTTAAACTTCCTCGAACTCGACTGCTGCAGCCGATCACCATCAGTGGAATTGGCAACACTACTACACTTGTGGAACACGAAACCTCCGTTACCATCACCTCCCGGGTGTCGCCATTCTCCCTGAAGAGTTCAATGCTCATACTCCCATCGATTACCATGAAGCTGCCACAGGTCTCCATCAACGTTCGTCAATGGTCAATTCCAAGGGACGTTGACCTCGCAGATCCAACGTTCGCCGTCACCGGTAGCATTGACATGATCCTAGGTGCCGCACACTTCTTCCGTGTTCTCCGTTACGGCCGAATCTCTCTCGGAATCGATCTTCCTCTGCTCCAAAACACAGAATTCGGTTGGGTCATCTCAGGAGAATGTACGCTGGAAAACCATGACCACCATGATAAAGGTAGCTGTCAGTTTAGCAATCCCTGCACGATCGACGAGCTGGTTAATCGTTTTTGGCAGTTGGAAGAAGTTCAACAGGCAAAAGGCTGGTCTCCATCCGAACGTTTCTGTGAAGAGCATTTTCTCAAAAACACCACTCGAAACTCCGATGGCCGCTACGTTGTCCAACTTCCGAAGCGCGAAGAGCTCTTGCTGCATCTGGACGACAACTGGTACAACGCTACACGACGTTTCTACGCTTTGGAAAGGTCGCTGGCCCGAGATCCAGAGAAGAAGGCAATGTATCAAAAGTTCATCCACGAGTACTTGGCGTTAGGACACATGCGGGAAATCAGTCCCGATGAGCGTAATTTCAAGCATCGTTACTTCCTTCCCCACCATGCAGTTATCAAGATGGACAGCACAACGACCAAGCTTCGAACAGTCTTTGACGCCTCATGTCAATCGAAATCTGGCCTTTCGTTGAACGATGTTCTGCTTGCTGGTCCCACCATTCAAGATACCCTGGTCACGATCGTTATGCGCTTCCGAATATTCGAATTCGTCGCTTCTGCCGATATCGAGAAAATGTACCGGCAGATCCTTGTGTTCTTACTTGACCAACCGCTCACGAGCATTGTCTGGCGCGATCATCCCGATCTTCCGCTGCAGATCTTCCAGCTACTCACTGTCACCTATGGTACCAGCTGTGCTCCATTTCTGGCGATCAGAGTATTAAAGAAGCTTGCTGATGACGAAGAACAGCAATTTCCATTAGCAGCTCCAGTGCTTCGTCGTGACTTCTACGTCGATAATCTACTAACTGGCTCTAACGACGCGGAATCTCTCGCCATTACCTGCAAAGAGCTTATCGCACTGCTTGCTTCTGCAGGACTTCCACTCCGGCAATGGTTTTCTAACAGCCAAACCGTTCTTGATGCCATTCCACAGGAGCTTCGGGAAACTGAAACTTTACTCGACTTGGACCATGAAGCCTCCGTCACAACGTTGGGTTTACGATGGGAGCCTTCTACCGATCTCCTTTCCTTCAAGCAACCGAAGTGGACGGAGTTTGCCACGTTAACGAAACGTGCAATCCTGTCACAAATCAGCAGTTTGTTCGACCCACTAGGTCTCATCGGACCGACCATTTCGAAGGCAAAGATTTTGCTCCAAGGATTATGGAAACTCCAACTCGACTGGGACGCGGCAGTCCCACCAGTATTTGTAAGCAATTGGCAGGAATTCAAGCAAAACCTCACCGTTCTCACTCAACTACGTATTCCTCGACACGTTCTCAGTCCAGGTTACGCAAGGCTGGAAGTTCACGGCTTCAGCGATGCATCAGAGGCTGCATATGGTGCATGTCTGTACCTCCGGTCGATAACATCTGCGGGATCCTGCACAGTTCGCCTCCTGATGTCAAAATCAAAGGTCGCTCCAATAGATACCAAAAGCATTCCTCGACTCGAGTTGTGTGCTGCTCTGCTCCTGTCCAAGCTTCTGGTTCAAGCCATGGACAGCTTCGATATTTCCGCCACGATATATTTGTGGACGGATTCCACCATTGTCTTAAATTGGCTCTCCGCAACACCGTCTACGTGGAAGACGTTTGTGGCCAATCGTATAGCTGAGATTCAGGAGCTCACCATTCATGCTGTCTGGAATCACGTTCCGTCCAAGGACAATCCAGCGGATTTCATCTCTCGGGGCATGAATCTCGACGAACTCGAAAGGAGTTCACTGTGGTGGCACGGACCGCAGTGGCTTGGCACGTTAGCTATACCATGGCCTGCTAAGTACTCTCCAACAAAATCGTTACCGTCGGATGAATCAGAAGCTCGCAAGATCGTCGTACTTCCAGTCGTTGAAGATGAAACGACCAATGATTTAGTGTTCCGCTACTCCAGCCTTCGTCCGCTGCTTCGAATAGGCTCTCTCATACGAAGGTTTGCCGAGAATTGTCGGCGTAGCAAGAATCATCAAGATCCTCTTGTGGGGCCGCTCACCGCAACCGAAATCGATCAAACTCTACTCGCCTTTGTGCATCGAGCTCAAGAGCAGCACTTTGAGAAGGAAATCCGTCAACTTTCCACCACTTATCAAGTAGATCGCAAGTCCAAGCTCCGATACCTTCATCCACAGCTTGTGGACGACATTATTCGTGTCGGCGGTCGGTTGCACAACGCACAGATCCCGATCGAAGAGAAGTATCCGATCGTCCTCCCGGCCAAGCATCGACTGACCGAAATGATAGCGACCAAAGAGCACCAGAAAACGCTCCACGCTGGCCCTGGATTGTTGCTTTCGTCCTTACGTCAACGATTTTGGCCTCTTGGCGGTCGGAATTTAGTTCGCCAGGTCATCCACCGATGCATGACGTGCGCCCGAGCTAAACCGAAATCTCTCGAACAGCTGATGGGACAACTGCCTCCTGTTCGGGTCAACCAGGCGTACCCATTCCAGAATGTCGGCATAGACCTGGCCGGCCCGATCTACGTGCGCACATCGGTGAGAAACAGACGTACTCCGTTCTTCAAGGCATACATCGTGGTCTACGTATGTCTCGTAACCAAAGCCGCTCATCTCGATCTCGTGTCTGACCTCACCAGCGAGGCATTCATTGCCAGCCTTCGAAGATTCACCGGTCGTAGAGGAAAGCCTGCACAGGTATATTGCGATAACGCGACAAACTTCGTGGGGGCGAAGAGAGAGCTAGAAGAGCTACGGAAACTGTTCATGTCCCAGCAGCACAAGGAGTCGGTAGCGCGAGAGTGTTCAGAAAATGGAATCCAATTCCACTTCATCCCACCACGTTCGCCTTCGTTTGGTGGAATCTGGGAAGCCTGCGTGAAATCAGTCAAGACCCTGCTCCGCAAGATTCTTGGCAATGCACACCTCACTGAGCCTGAACTACAAACTGCTCTAGTGCAGGTGGAGGCAATGCTCAACTCACGCCCTATTACTCCACTACCAGACGATCCTTCCGACGAGTTCGCTCTCACTCCAGGACACTTCCTGATCGGCAGACCACTGAACGCAATGCCCGATCCTGACCAGCAGGACATTCCCGAGTCCCGCTTGACCCGGTGGAGACGAGTACAGCAGCTCACCCAACATTTCTGGTCCCGTTGGCACAAGGAGTATCTGGCTACACTGCAAAATCGCTACCGCTGGAATCAAGTTCTCGACAACCTCGCCGTTGGTTCCATCGTCGCCCTCAAGGACGAGAATGTTCCGCCACAAAAATGGCCTCTCGGGCGCGTGATCAGCATCCACCCTGGTACCGACGGAAGAGTGCGGGTCGCCACAGTAAAGATCAGTTCAGGAACAACCAAGCGTGCCATCTCAAAGCTGTGCCTACTTCCAGTCGAGATTGATCCTGCCATCGTAACTTCGAATGTGGTTCAAAACATCAGTAATTCTGTTAAATCGTCGTTGGAAGAAGACCTTCGCTTGAGGAACCAAGCCGCTGGACCAGCTCCCGGCCCTTGCTCAGGGAACAGAGCCGCCGGACGAGTTCCCGGCCCCTACTCGGGGAAATGAGTCGCCAGACGAGATCCTGGCCCATGCTCGGGGGAATCGAGCGGTTCCTGATACAACTGTAAAGAGTCAAGCTCGCCATGTGGGTTCGGAGAACCCCATGGCTCGGACTTGACACTAGTTAAGTACCACCTCTTTCATTTCCTCCAACAATTCGCATACAGATGTCCCTTCTTTACAGCACACCATTCGATGCCAACTTGTTTGTCGCCTTCCGCCAATGAATTAGAAGCTGGAAGGAAGCCTGTTGCGACGAACTGCATAAACAAATCACCCTCCAGAATCTGTGATTCACCTTCATTGAAGAAGAGTCGTAGAAGAATTTTCCTTGCCGGTGAACGATGAATTCCCGAAATTTCATGGCGGCCGGAATGTTCAAAATCATTAAGATAATTAAATTCCATGAACTTCAATATTCACCATAAAAACGCGCACTGCACCCGTTGTGCGCACGAATAGCACAGCAACATAAAACATGTAAATAGTAGCATAGGATGTACAGAAAATGTAAATAAAAAATCAGTTGAAATCAGCATCCCGTCGCGTTTAGGTGAAAGTTGCTCTACTTCCGTGTGTGGTGTCCGAAGTGCCTCGGTCTCGAAACCTCTTACACAAGTGAATCCGTTTTTTTTGTCGAGCTAATTAATTGCGGTGGAAGGTGAAAGAACCACAGCCAGGGAACTATTTCCACCGTCGTTTTTGTTGAAAAGAAAAGTGGTTAAGTGCTAATCAGAGCTTTTTTCAGCACATAATTCGACATCCTGTTTTATTCAGCATTGTACACTGTTATAGAGCATTTATTCAATGTGTATGCTTATTTCTGACTTTGAATTGTTAGTTGGGGCACGCTCTCGAAGAAACATTAGGAATAATTGAATGTAACCACCGTCCAAGATTTCCATTGTCCCAATCGTTTTGCCAACTCGAAAGGGTACTCTGACGCACTAAATGGTAAAATTCATCGTGTGAAATTTGCCTGTCATAAAATGCGCCTTCCTGCGCGCCCACCTTTGCGAGAGAGTCCGCCTTCTCATTGTCTGGGATTAAGCAATGTGAGGGGACCCATACAAAGGTAATCATATATGATCTTTCGACCAGTACACTGATCTGCTCCCTTACCTTTGAAAGGAAATAAGATGAGTGCCTACTTGGTTTCATCGACCGAATAGCCTCAATCGAACTGAGACTATCCGAGAAGATGAAGTAATGGTCTGCGGGCATGTTGGAAATCATCCCCAATGCGAAGTTGATTGCTGCTAGCTCAGCAACATAAACGGAACAAGGTTCCTGAAGTTTGCGAAAGGCGCTAGAGTTTTCATTGAATACACCGAAGCCAGTGTATCGATTGAGACGTGACCCGTCTGTAAAATATCTTTTCACGCAATTGACGTGTTGGTACTTTTCAGTAAAAATACGCGGGATAATAATAGGTCGAAGTTGATCGGGAATCCCATGAGTTGCTTGTTTCATGGTCAGATCATATTCAATTGAGGAACTGCGATTGGTGAAGTGAGCACGGTCTGGAGTGTAACAAGGAAGACACATATCTGACGATATGTAGTGGTGGTAGATTCTCATAAATCGAGATTGTGTGTTCAGCCCAAAAATGTCTTCAAAAATTTTAATTATAAGTTTGTTTGTCACTCCGCATTTGATTATTATTCTGAGAGAGAGCTCCCAGAAACGGTTCTGGAGGGGTGTTACTCCTGCCAGAACCTCGAGACTCATGTTATGCGTTGAGTGCATACAGCCAAGAGCAATACGCAGACAACGATATTGAATTCATTCCAATTTTATAAGGTGACATTTTCTTGCCGAGAGAAAGCAGAAAGAGCCGTACTCTAGAACAGAGAGAATAGTTGTTTTATAATATTCCAAGTGCACTTTGAATCAAACCAGACCCCAAGGTACTTGAAAGACAATGATTGAGTAATGTTTCTGCCCAAAAGATTAAGATGCATTTGGGCTGGGTACCGCTTTCGAGTAAACACTACCAGTTCAGTTTTCTGCGGCGAGAATTCGATCCCTATAGATTCCTAGCCCAAGAAGACAAGTTATCTAAGGAACTTTGCAATGGTCCTTGCAAGTCCACGGCTTGTGGACCTCTTACGGGAACGACACCGTCATCTGCAAGTTGTCTTAGCGTGCATTGTTCTGCCAAACAGTTGTCGATATCTTTGACATAAAAGTTATAAAGAAGAGGGCTGAGACGACAACATTTTTGTTCGTGTGGTGTCCACTATAGTCGTGCACGTTCAAGGTTTCCATCGAACCTCCAGTTTTCCACCGCCCGCGCCCGGGTGCACCCTCGTCCACCACAATTCGACATTGATCAAATCGGCTAAAACGGCGAGCGACTTCGTCATTGCCTCACTTTCACGCACCTTCGTCGATTCTCGGAAAACAGATGGCGTGTGTTTGTGGAAAACCAAAGTTAGGTAATTCCTTGAAATGAAGCGTGCATGTGTGCCTCGATGAAGCTGTTGTATTGGTTGCTCGCTAACTGAATCCTCCTAATTAATTAAACGTCAGACGGATGAGTTGCAAAGGTGTGGTTTATCTTCTCCACTGTCTGTGTTAGGTTCAACATCAGCACATCATTGAATAACAAAAGCTATAATTAGCAACTCGCTCACCATTTAACATCGTCCATAGGTCGACCAGGTCGACCGATGTTTCTCCATGGAAAATCGGCTAGAAAATGTGTTCTCGCTTGCGCTGTTATGACGACGACGATGATGATGATGATGATGATGGCAGCGGTCCGAATTTTCATACGCATTCAAACCCACGCATAAATTTGCCCTTATTCGAATAGTAAAAAAATGATTTCTTAACGTGAGTCACAATGTTTTTGAACACGCAGGTAATGAATTAGTTGCTGTTGTACTTGTTTGCTCATTGTCAACAATTAACGATCTCGTTATATTTACCTACCAGTTAAACTCGCTCTGGCTTGGGGAGCGTGTGACAAAAGTATGCAAAATGAACATTTTTTGATGACAGCTTTACGACACCGCCTGGCCGAGCGGAGGTCGTCATTCTTTAGCGATGTTTTAGCTCATGATGCAGACGTAAATATTGCAGAAGGTGTGTGGTTTAACGAGTTTAATTTTTCGACTCAATGTGATTTAGGGCACATTTGTTTTGTTGCACATCAAAAGTGATTACATAATGTTACGTTGCAAAGGAAACAGACATATTTTTTAAAAGATCCATCTTTTTTGCTTTCACTGAAGCTTTCGATCTACTGTTGGAATAGGCTGCTGATGAAGTCGTCGATGAAGCTCAGTCTTTGCTATTGAATGCTATAATTATCACGGAATGAAAATGACCATCAAGCGTTGCCATGACTTTTTCCGATCAGAAGGAAATCCCAAGATTATTGTAACTTGTGTTTTGTTACGGAGTTGGCTTACAATTCACATTTGCTCAAATAGAAGCAATTAAAACAGATTCCAGTAAAAGACTAACAATACAGGCAACGAAAAAAACAGCAATCTGGAAACTCAAAGTTATGTAGGGTTCTGAAAGGGACTGGAGCTCCACCGTAGGAGGGGTAATCCCCCGTCCGGCAGAGATGTCCCGTCAACCAAAAGAAAGTTAAAAGGACCTAAATGTTGTTGGAAATAAATAACTGTCGCTAAAGTGGGAGGTTCGTCGCCCAGTATGTCCCTTATGCTGTTGGGAAGTGCGTACTGCTCCCGTAGATGTTGGTATTGCGGACACAGGCATAGGATGTGCTCCACCAATGCAGTGGTTCCGCAAACGTAGTACATTCTGTGGAACTGCGTCCCACCAAAACTATGTGAGATCCTTGTATGGTCTGTCCTAAGACGAGGAACCACCTTCTGGTCCCGTAGTTTCGACATATCCGTCCACTTGCTCGTCGTTCCTTTGATTCTTCGGATGAAGAGGGATTGGGATTGGCATCACTCTGCTTCCCAGGCTTCCCACATTTAGCTGACTATCCATCGCTTTATGTCCTGTAGTGGCACTTCGTCAGTGTAACGGGGGCCAGCTGGTCCAGACCCTGCCAGGCTGTCGGCTTCGCTATTTCCTGGGATACCGCAGTGCCCAGGGATCCAGGAAAACACCGTGTTCGGAGGTGTGGCCTCCACGATACCCTGTATCCAGGGGTGGGTTGGGTTCTCAGATATAAGGGCTTGTATCACGCTGTACGAATCGCATAGCACCAGTATGGGCCGGTTCGAGGGTGTTGTAACTGCAACAAAGATGGCCGCAGCTTCGGTGGAGAAAACCGAGCATTATGGCGGTAGGCTGCTACTCATCGGTGCTGAAATTCCAGCTACTCCAATTCCAACCCCGGCTTGGGAAAGCGATCCGTACGTGTATATGTGGGCATGGGTTGGGTAGTCCGAATCTAGCAGTTCGGCTACTGTTCTCCTCAGCACTGCAGAGTTATCTCCAGCCTTGAACCTGCTCTTTATCCGACTCTCGATTTTTGGTTGAGGTATGCGCCAACTTTTGTCTCCGTACCAGTGGACCTTGGCCACTGGGGGGAGCTCCAAATTGGCAGTCATGCAGAGAAGAAAAATCCTGTCATTTCCGGAGGTCATTGCTGTAAAGCTCGATTCAAAGTAAATCTAGACGCACGGTTCAATACACCTCCACGCCCCTAGTGGTTGGAACAAAAAACGTTTGGCAGGCATTTGTTGATGTTTCCTTGACGAAGAAATTGGTGAAAAGTTTTTCTCAATTGATCGACGCATCGCGAAATTAAGAATCCTGGAACTTGAGAAAAGAAAATTAATTGTGCACAAACATCTAGAGAACCCTTCGTGGTCTACCTCAAGAATAGCAAAAGTGTTAAAATTCCCAAAGTCAGCGGTGAGTCTTGTAATCAAACGTTACAAGGATACTCTGAGTGTGGATAGAGCACAGCGCATCTATCATAAAAGTGGCACTAGGGACAAAGAGCTGAGGAGAAAGGTGTTAAGGTACGTGAAAAGCAACCCAGGTGTCTCCATACGTGATTTGGC